CTTTCGTGATTATCCAAATGGTCGTTGCAGCCAAAGCTTGCAACAAACCAGGAATGGCTAGCTAAATAATCTGGCAAACTATCCACAACTTCTCTTGTGAAATGTAGTCTTTGATCTATACGCATTCTTCTTAAATAAATTGGTACTACCATGCTTTTCGCCTTTTCCTCTAAAAATATCTCACACTGTCTCTCCTAAAGGTGTGCTTATATTACTTGTAGGTAGGCAGTTGCTTGTCACTATCTTTTCAATTAGATGGAAATGATTGGGCAACGTAAAGTTCAGTTAAAAATCTTCTTTTCCGTCAAGAAAAAAGTAAAAAAAATGTTTTCCGAGACAAAATATATAAAGCATTGGTAAATTTTGGCCCTTTCAACATGAACAGAGATGAAACTTTCTGTTGGCTAAACACGTTTGGCTGCACCTCTTGTTCGGAAGGTCTCTAGGATAATACAGTAATACTCACCCATTTGTTGAGTACGCACTACAACAGCTACCATATCATCAGGTCCAAATGATATAATGCAACATCCGACAATTGGTCTAAAATTAGTGATTAGATAAAGATACATTTTGTGGGGGACAAAGAAAGGTTGATGCCTTGTTAGTATCAACTTGGAGAAGATTCATTGAACCTGGGACGGTGAGAGCAACGCCCCATCGACCAGTTGTAGAATACTGCATCCGTTTCTAAATATTTGACGCCATTTACTTTTTAAAATATGTTTAACCATTCATCTTATTTAAAAAAAAATTAAGTAATTATTAATTTTGTTTCCTATCATTTGATTAATTGTTAAATATACTTATATGTATACATATAGTTTTACATATTTCATAAAAAAATTTGAATAATATGAACGGTTAAATATGTGCTAAAAAGTTAACGGTGTCGAATATTTAGAAACGGAGGGGGTACTAATGATAATTAATGGCAGTATCGCTTACATTGAAGTTGGCCTCAAATGGAAGCTGCTGTTTTTCTAACCATGGCCGCTGCCCGCTGGCCCGCATCGTATGTAACGCGGTCGCATTGCCGGTTGCTAGATCAACATAGAAACAACAGACGAACACATGATCGCTTTAGCTTCTGCAAAAATACTCTCATAAAGTTTCTTTAACCTCGATGATCATGCAAGATGACGAAGCAAAGCCGCAAAAGCGACAGCATACATCTTAAGTTCGTTGATTTACTCAAGTGGCAGTACTAATCAAGCAAAGCTTTTGGCAACCACCGGCAGAGCAAGAAAATACCTGCATACCATCCTTGCGGATGCAACATTTTCCTAGGAAATTTCACTTAGGAGGTTAGGAACACATTATATACAGAGGTCTACTTATGGCACTGATATATAACTTGTCTTCGTACTCCCTCCGGCCCCCCCCCCCCCCCCTCAAAAAAAAATCACTTATAGAGTTTAAATTTTATTCCATAGAAAACTAACTTCTATCATTCTGTCAACCCTTAACACGTAAAATGTGAAGTTTTATTCATTTAATATTCTTTATCTATCTATCACTCTTACTTTTTTTTAATAATTAAAGATATTTTAGCCATTCTCATTTCTCACTAATTCTACCTTGAAATATCATGAATTATTTTTTAGACGGAGGGAGTACAAGATTAATATAAAGTAGTTAGCATGATAACCAACTCCACTTGGAATTATTTACTCACATGAATTGTTCCAAAGGGAATCAATCAAAGTTCAGTAAAGTCAAAGTGAAGTCGATGAGTTGATGGTGAAACTGCCGCGTTGCATCAGCAGCTACCAACCTGCACGGTTGCAGGACCTGGCAGGCGGGCCTTGGTTTGTTAATTGTTAGTAAATTAATTACTCCAGGTCATTGTCTTAGTAAAACCATATATACTCATGCCACTAGCGTTTGTTTGGCTGTGGATGGTGACGACCGATGACGTGTCACTGGTGCACGGGCCCACCAGCCAGGGACGATGCCGCCTAGTAAATCCTAGAATGTTTTATAAAAAACCAAGTTAGTACGGGAATGGGACATATTGGGGCTGATTGGTTCAGCTGGCTGCAGAGTTTTGGGATGCAGCTGTCCAGCCCAGCCAATCGGCTGCAGCCTAAAATTCTACAGCAACTCTTATGTTTTGAATGTGCACACTGCTGCAGAGGGCAGCTGCTTGTTGGTTGCCGTTGTAGTTGATGCGAGCTGGCTGCTGCAGCTCTGCAGCGCTGCAACAACAATCACAAGCGATCAGCCTTATTATATGTCCAAATTTATAGTAATAGAATGTGTTATATCTAATTTTAGATTCTTTTTTATAGGACATAGAAAGTATACGCCAATGGCCGGCCGGCCTGCCTAGTATACAATGGAACGGCGCATTTGCGTCGTCTTCTCCGACGGCGTTGGTGGACAGAATTGCAATGCGAGAGATTCAGCTGGAGGCAGTTGCGTTATCCAGCGCGCAGTAGCGGAATACGTGCTCTGATGAAGCAATATAATAGAAGGGTTCATCAGAGATGCAACTTGCAAGATGCTCTCTCTATGATCCTATCCATTCTAGGGACCGTACGAGATAAGGTTGGGATTAGTTTCAGTAGAGGTGTCATGTGCCCTGCTGCATCTTCTGTTCCCAAGGACGAGAGGAGTAGGACGGAGCCGATAAGATAATGAATATTACTACTGCATCTCCTTTTCAACCAAACAAAAAAATTCTAAATCTTTGCTTAGGGAGTAATCAAGCAATCATGGTATCCTCTTGCTGGGGAACGATGGATGGACCGGTAGCATTGCCATTGTCAGCTCTGATCAGCACCGGCTACTTTGTCCATCTGTCTTCTTTCAAAACGAACAACAACAACGACCAGTCTAAAAAAACGAACAACAACAACAGAAAAAAAAGCTTGGGCCTTTGTCCTGTATACTGCGAAGTTTATTGGGCCTACATTCTTTTATGGCCTGTTTGGGGCAAAATGCCAGGCTGGTTGGGCCTGTTTTGGAAGAGAGGATACAAGGGCCTTGTGGCTCTCTCCGGAAGCCAGTTACTAGTTCACCAAGGTCCCTCAATTTAACATCAAGATTTTTTTAATATTCCTTAATCACAAAACAGAAATATATACACCTAAACTCACGTATGAGCAAGTTTAATAGTATAGCCAACTACTAGCTTTAATTCATCTATAGCCAATCTAATAGCTCATACATACAATAGTTACATACTACACTATTAATACCTGATCCCACCTGTTATACACACTACGTCTTATAGTCCGTGCTACAGCTGGCTATAAATCTGTAGCCAGCTTATAGCCTGCTATTATACCTGCTCTAAACCATATAACTCATCGATGTCACCGTTCCAGCGAGAGTGCCTGAGTCTCGAGGAAGGAGCTGATGGATGACAGGACTGGATTTTTCACATTTTGATCCTTTTAAAAAACTTATTTCGCAAATAGACCCCTGAAAAAACTTATCCCAGAAATGGTCCTTTTTGGGGCGCCAGAGTGGCTGGCGCCGTCATCCAACGGGACGGCGCCTCCTCCTGCCACCGTGGCGCACGCGAACCGACGTGGCAGGAGGAGGGCGCCAGCATGGCTGGCGCCGCCGCCTCCATTCCTGTTTCTCTGTATGGAGTTGCAACGGTGTCATTTTTATTTTATTTTTTCGGATGTTTTTTCACACTCAGGATCACGATACAACCAACCACAAAAAAAATTTAAACTCGAACTACCACTTAGCTAAGTCTGAAAATATCTAGCATACCACTTAGTCTACTTTGCACCTTCACTCAAATTAGACCATAACTCCTTTAGTAAAACCCTTTGATCAGCATGTTAAACATAATGCACTCTACCACTATATAAATTACTTAATCTAATTCAAAATATAACCACATGAAATGACATATATAAGTTAAACAGTACAAAGAGATGCAATTTTTTTATTTTTATTTCATTTTTTTGATATTTTTTTCACACTTAGGAGAACATAGGAACCAACCGTATAAAAAATAAACTCAAACGGACAAAATATGTGACATGTAGAATTTTCCAAAACTCTACCGAAACGGACAAAATATGCCATCTATTAAAATAGGCGTAACTTTCTCATACGGACTCGGAATCAGGCAAATAATATATGAACGGACATCTACAGAAAAAGTTACATCCGATTCTCCCCCGCTTTGCCGGGTTCGGCGATATTAAAACCTCCAAATTCCGCTTGCAAGATTGTATTTTCGAGGAGAGAAGTTTTTCGGTGGAGCTTTGGAAAATTCCACATGCCACATATTTCGTCCGTTTGAGTTTATTTTTTACGTGGTTGGTTCCTGTGAGTTCCTAAGTGTGAAAAAAATATAAAAAAAATAAAATAAAAATAAAAAAGTTGCACATCTCTCTCCTCTGCACTAGTTCGGAGAGAGGAGAGGAGAGGAGAGGAAAAATTCTACATGTCATATATTACGTCCATTTGAATTCAATTTTTCTATGGTTGGTTTTTGTGTGTCCCTAAGCGTGAAAAAAATATCAAACAAATAAAACAAAAATAAAAAATTTCGAGGGGGGCGCCAGCCACTCTGGCGCACTCCCCCTAGCCACCTCAGCATCGCCCCGCCAAGTCGGCGGTGGGACGGCGCCAAAGAGGCTGGCGCCGTCCTGTTGAACGACGGCGGCAGCCACTCTGGCGCCCCAAAAAGGACCATTTTTGGGATAAGTTTTTCTAGGGATCTACTTGCGAAATAAGTTTTTCAAAAGGATCAAAATGTGAAAAATCCAGGATGACAGGAAGGGGAAGAAGGGTGGTGGTCGGCGAGAGGCGGCTCTCCGGTGAGGACCAGATCGGCGTCGGCGACGGCGGAGAGGGATAACGCAGTTAGCGCCATCAACCGTTGCGATCGTGGCCCAGATGGAGGAGAGCAAAAGCTGGACCTTTCTGACCGTTCGATCAACGTTAGCAACGGCCGCGATTAACCAAACGGCAAAGGGAATTTCGCAACGGAGCCCTGATTTAACTGGAGCTTATCCTCAGTTGCACTAATCCCATCTGCCCGCTACGCTTTCCTTCCTCTTGCTCCGCGCCTCCGCCGACGAGCTCCGGTGAGGAGCGGCGGCGACCGGCAGCCGGCAGCCGAGACAGACAGCAGTGAAGGATTGCCATCAACACGAACCAACTGGACATCGAAATGCTCTTGCGCGGCGAAGCCGGAGACCAGCCGTCGGCCAAGGTCTTCCGCCGCTTCGTCCATGACGCCATCGAGAGGTGAGATTCTAATCCTGAATGCCCCCCAACATCAAGTACTCTCTCACCGTTGTTAGTACTAACGATTTTGCTCAAATGCGCAGACCGGACGAGTTCATATTGCATCCTGCCGCTCCGCTGCCACCGTCCGTGGAGATTGTCCGCGTCATGGATGTGATATCCAATTTTGTACCCCACTTCCTCTTGAAATTTGCAGCATCTGAGTAGGTATGGAGGGAGTGATGCGTTTTTTGCGATTGATGATTTGGTCAGGTTTACTCACTGATTCAGCAGAGCTGTAGAGGAACACGCAATCAGATATGCAAGGCTGTGTTTAGTTCAGCGCAAAGTTTAGATTTTGGTTAAAATTAAAAATGATGTGACTGAAAAGTTGTGTGTGTATGACATGTTGATGTGATGGAAAAGGACTGAAGTTTGGATCCAAACTTTGGATCTAAACACAGCCTAAAATGCATGGTGCAATGAATCTGCCATGGTGGTAAGCTGTGAAACCTGGATGCTCTGGTCTCTGGAACCTAAATTATATACTCCCTCCGTCCTATATTATAAGGGATTTTGAGTTTTTGTTTTCAACGTTTGACCACTCGTCTTGATTAAAAAATTTTAAAATTATTATTTATTTAATTGTGACCTACTTTATTATCTACAGTACTTTAAGCATAATTTTTCGTTTTTTACATTTGAAAAAAAAATTTGAATAAGACGAGCGGTCAAACGTTGTAAGCAAAAACTCAAAATCCCTTATATTGTGGGACGGAGGGAGTAGTACTTATGTACTATGTGAGTTTTTGGAGAATTTTGAGCATCTTGAAATAACCTCGATAGTACCCAAATCGTTTGGTTTGAAAAGAAGTGATCGAACTGAGTGAAACATGACCAGGTCTGTACCGTTAAATTTCAATTTCCTGTAACTCTCTGTCTCTAAAATCCTGTATATACCTGATGTTTGAATCTCCTGAAAATGTAGATGAAGATTCAGTGTTTCACGTAAAACGAGGTGGTGATAACGTGTGATTAATTAAGTTTTAATTATTACAAACTTAAAAAATAGATTAATCTAATATATTAGAGCAACTTTCATATGAAAAGTTTTCGCACGAAACGCACCGTTTAACAGTTTAAAAAACGTGCCACGAGTATACAAAATTTCATCCAAGCCTTGTTGGAGAAAAGAACAGGGCACGTTGAGACTGAAGCAAGTAAATCAAATTGCATGCTGACCTTCGAAAGATCTTCCTAAAGGTTTCCCTTTTTTGTGTGTGTGTGTGTGTGTGTTACCGAATCCCCTACTTCTTTTTAATTGGAGTGTCACTAACAACCTAATGTTACTCCTTTACAGATAATGTCGAGCATGTTAATCAGATCAACCTTGAGATTGCTAGCTGGGTAGAAAGTGACTATCAAATACAGTTTTTCCCGTCGAACTATTCATCTTGGTTTTGCATTCCTTGTTCCAGTTGACTATCTGCAGCTTACTATCAGCAAGTGATATCATTATTTGGTACCATTACTTGTTGGTGAGATATATATGTTCGACATATATGGTGTTGAGTTCACACACAAACCTTTGGTAAATTGGTAAGCTTATTTTTTGAAAATATATTATCGTTTAGTGATGGTGGTGTGCATAACTAATAAGTACAAGGCTAAGGTGTATATATGTAGTCCTCTCGGTATATATGTATAGTTGATGATGGTTTATTCAATATACAATTTCCTCTTTTTTCCATGTATAGCTGGAAATAAGAAACATAATATTGGTTCTCAGTTTATTTGCTCCATGTCACGCACAATATGCTTGAAAGTGTATTCATAAACGATCTGTTATTCAAATGTCAGTTCTGAATTGTCATAAGAAATTCCTGTAAATTAACTGTTTAGTTTTTTTTAAAAGGAAGACAAAAGCTTTGACTTTTTTATATTGATAAAGGAGTTTAACTGTTTAGTTACCTTGTAGCTTTCCAGTTGCTGTCCATGTCCAGTATATTTTCCTAATATCTTCTTTTTAGCGAACGTGAAATATTTTTTTTCACTAAATTGATTCTCTCTGTTGTAATTTAAAGCCGATCCCATTGATTTGAGGCTCTTAAATATATAAATCTGCCTGTGGCTATTGCGAACTTATTTGTTCTTTTTCCTGTGCCAGGTTCAATGAAAATGTTGTGAAGAAAGCTGTCCACCTGCAGGTTGGATTCCTAGGGGGGTTGACTGTTGAGGAATAAAGCAATCCAATGGATATTTCAAAGTAAAATGGTCTAATGATAGTTACAGGTTCAGGAACCTTATCATCAGCAATTGAGATGGGCCTCAGATGAGGAAGTATGTCCCCTTCGTTCCAGTCACCAAACATTAGCTAAAAAACGTGTCCCCTGCACTAATCTAGCTGTTATTTTGATCATATGTCATAAACTGTTCAAAAAATAAGTCCACTGACTGTTGTCCCCAGTCTATGCTGTTCCATGAAATCTGTAATTTAATCAAACGTTGAAGAACCGGAACAATAACTCTTATCTTAATTGCGTCCCCCTGGTAGTACTGTTACTGTACTACTACCGAAGTACGGATTGTAGTTGGTAGCAAGAGCAGGTCAAAGATTTCATCGAGGAAAAATATTTGACACGCCTTTCTCTAACACAAGCAGCTACTCCTATTCGTTTGGTCAAAGTTGAGGTCCAATGTGTTCATCATCTCGGCATCTCGCTCGTGAGAACGCAACGACAATGCGCTATATTCTGCGCTGACAGGTGGGGCCCAGAAAGGATGAAGCGCGTCCGTAGACTCCGTACGGGGAAGTTGCTACGTACCGACGCCAGCTGGACTTTGTACTCCAACAAACGGCAGCGATGACGCCGACCGACCTACCTTCCCGCATGTGGACCCGACACGTCAGCCTCTACATTCGGCCTTTGGACAGCGTCCTAAAGATCTCGTTATTTTTTATATTTATTTTCTAAAAGATTTAAAATATAAATTTCCATTTCAAATATTTTACATGAAAATACTCCTCCCGGTAGAAGTATATTTTTAAAACTTTGAAATGATAATTTATTTTTAAATTCTTTTTAAAAAATAAATATAAAAGTTTAAACAATCCAAGATCTCGCTACTTCCGGCCCGGGCCGACCTGCCGCTTCCCTTGATATGACGCACACGATTTTACTGCTGGCCCCACATGTCACAAGCACAGCCACGAATTCGGAACGAACCATAAACCGCACCCGCGGACGTGACACAGCCACGCTGACTATCGTGCCCCACAAGAAATCCTGCACGCTGTTAACTGAAACGCTTTTGACTGACGGGTGGGACCAAATTTACGGGCCCACAGGTCATTCAACAAGGAAGGTATATATAGCAATATCGCATAAAGTATTTTGCAGGCCACGCGCCTTTCGTGATCTCTGGTATAAAAGTCTACTCCTACCAATTAACCTCCTACTACTAGTACACCAGACGACAACACACACACAAAAAAAAAAAAGAAGAGAAAAACCGAACGAAAATCCCCTCGCGCAGACGACTACTACATCCTTCTCGTCTCATCCCGTCGACCCGCCGCCGCCTCAATCTCGAAGCCTCGGCGAGGCTAGGGTTTCTGCGTCTCCATGGGCTCTAAGAAGCGGTCGCCTCAGCATCCGGCCGCCGCGGCGCCCCCTCCCGCCGTCGGCGGCGGCGGCGGCGGCGAGGTCTCCGGCGATGGTGGCGCCTCGACGGCGAACGGGCCGGTGGTGCCGAAGCCGTCGGAGGTGGCGCCGTTCCTGACGAAGGTGTACGACATGGTCTCGGACCCCGCGACCGACAACGTTATCTCGTGGGCCGAGGGCGGCGGCAGCTTCGTGATCTGGGACTCGCACGCCTTCGAGCGCGACCTCCACAGGCACTTCAAGCACAGCAATTTCACCAGCTTCATACGCCAGCTCAACACCTATGTGAGATTCCCTTGATCCCTGTGTTCGTTTGTTTCTGATGCGCGAATTCGGTGCCATTTCCAGTTGGTTGGACGAAATCGGTAGTGAAATCTGAGTTTCTGTTCCCAATTTGTTGTTTATTATCACGGCTAGACAGCAAATCTTGCTTGCAATTATAAATTGGGCAGTAGCTTCCGATGCACTGCATATGAATTTGTTTGAATCGTGACTGCGTGTTATATGATGTTACTTTCTTCTATTTTGTGCCTTTTAAGTTGATTGCGTGTATTAGGGATTATCTGCCATTTTGGAGTTAATCACTTATTAAATTTTAACTACGTTGGAAGCTGTTGGCGATATAGTTGGATGCCTTTCTTCTTCTAGTCGAAAGACACAATAGAACTAGTTTCTGCGGTGGCTTTCTATTCAACAACAACTTCTAGAGTTCTAGTACATAAAACACGTCATTGGGGGTGGGGACTAATATTGTTAATTTTGAGACCAGTTTCTGTTCTCTTAATGTTTTGTGAATTTGATCGTATGAAAGCTGGCTGTAGAAACTATGCCAAACTCTTGGCTTTAAATTACAGGGGAATGATATGTGTTGCCTATCACTACTTCTAAAAGTCTATTTCCCCCATATTTGTATTTAGTGAACTTCAGAACTAGAGAAAGCATGATGTTATAACCTACCATCATGCTGTATAAGAAGAATATGTTCCCTCTTGTTTGGCTGAAAGAAATGCATGTTTGGTTGTGCTGATATTGTACTGCTATTATCTTCTTCTGTGTCATTTGCCTCAATACATTGTTTTATTTGAATTTGAACTTCCTTTTCACAATCGAATTTGTCTGATGAAATATAAGATTATGAATTTGCTCTTTTATTGAACTATATGGACACTTAATTTTGTGCTTTTGGCAAATCCATGTCCTCATTTTGATTTCTGGATAAATCACTGGACTCTTGCACCCAGGATTTCTTCTGATGTCTAATTACTTAAATGCGAAAATCACCTGACTTTTGCTCACTGGGTTGCTTTCCTGTAGTTAGGAGTAGTTCTATTTAACCATCTATTAGTTGTTCTTGGCTTCATATACTCAGTAAAACTTAAAAACAAAGCCTGAAAAGTGAAATCTCCAATGGGATCAGTAGAAACATTACTTTATCTGCTTTCATTGATGTTCTCTATTCTTTTGGAGCATATGTTTTATATTAGCTGAAGTTACTCAAGTTTCCTTTCATAATCAGGGATTTCGTAAAGTTCACCCTGATAGATGGGAGTGGGCCAATGAAGGTTTTATTATGGGCCAAAAACATCTTCTGAAGACCATTAAGAGGAGGAAGAAGTCTTCTCAGGAATCACCTAGCGAGATACAGAAGGCGCCTGTCAAAACTGCACCTGGTACTGAAAATATTGAGATAGGAAAATATGGTGGCCTTGAAAAGGAGGTTGAAACCCTTAAGAGGGATAAAGCTCTTCTCATGCAGCAGCTTGTAGATCTCAGGCACTACCAGCAAACATCTAACCTTGAAGTGCAGAATTTAATTGAACGGCTTCAAGTAATGGAACAGAACCAGCAGCAGATGATGGCACTTCTAGCAATCGTTGTCCAGAATCCTAGTTTTCTCAACCAGCTTGTGCAGCAACAGCAGCAGCAGCGCAGATCCAACTGGTGGAGTCCTGATGGAAGCAAGAAAAGGAGATTTCATGCTCTTGAGCAGGGCCCTGTAACTGATCAGGAGACCTCTGGCCGTGGGGCACATATTGTTGAATATCTCCCACCTGTCCCAGAAACATCAGGTCAAGTAAATCCAGTGGAAGGAGCCATTTGTTCGGCCAACTCACAACCAGTTCCAAGTCCTGCAGTTGCCACACCCATGGACATGCAAACGTCTAACGTTGCTGATACTCTCGGTTCATCTGAGGAGCCTTTCGCTGATAACTCTACTCTACATGAATGGGATGATAACGACATGCAGCTTCTGTTTGATGATAACCTAGACCCAATACTTCCACCATTTGAGAATGATGGTCAAATGGGCCCTCCTTTGAGTGTTCAAGATTATGATTTTCCGCAGTTAGAGCAGGATTGTCTGATGGAAGCACAATATAACTCCAACAATCCTCAATATGGTAATGACTAATTACTGTATACCCTATGTTTTTGTTCATCATTTTGTGGAAAACAAGCGTGATGTCATTTTAGTTAACTGTGGAGTTTCTATGTGCATGTTTCATGCCAAATGCCAAACAATGGATGTTTACAGACCACCCTTTTAGTCTGTTGTGCTAGGATTTGGCAAAGATGACATGGAGCCTTATTCAAAGTTCAATACTTGCTTCTCAAATGGCTTTGATATTTCCTTCTGTTATTTCACGAAAGTAGTGTTTGACAACTAGAGTGATATTTTTTTTTATATCTGGTTAATTGGACAATTTTGATCACAGCCAAACCTCTTGATTTAGTTTCCTCAACCAAAACAGATCTAAGCTGTGCCTGCGTCACATTGATTATTTTCCCAATCAGCCTATTCTTTGTTTGATCATATCGGTTTCAATTCACTCTGCAGTACTTCTATACATGCCTGACATCTTCCCTTTTTCATCAGCTGATGTCATTACCGAAGCTTGATTGGTGGTCCAGGAGCATACTTGCAGTAACATTAGGTGGGTACAGTCCATTTTTAACATGAAAAAGGAATTATTCCTTAATGTGCTTTGTTAATGGAATGCTTACTTTGCGTTGCAATACCAAAGTACCAAACTGAAAGACATACCATCCTTGTTTAATTCCTCTAGCCGTTGTTTCTTACAGAACTTTAGGCTAGTATTTCGTGTCAGGCTAGGACTATATGGTCAACTAACCCTGCAACCGCCTCCAAATTGAAATTCAATCGAAAAAATATTGAACTTAATGGCTTGAACTGAATGCTTACTAAATAAACATGATTGGTCGTTAAAAAAATGCCATCAGCCATTTCTTGTAAATAAATACACGAAGCTATATTTTTTTTATTTGTATGACCAATGTTTGTTCCAGTACTGATCCAGTTTCAACATCTGCAGTTCTTCGGTGACCAACCTCCGGGCGCATCTGCACCATTGGCATCCCGAAATGGCGTCCTCAGGGTGTACCGATGAATTATGCTAACACAGAAGAAGATATAACTCTAATCTGGTTGACCATACAGAACTACCTTTCTTGTTCAAGGCACTTTTTGGGGACAGGGGACGCCTTTTCGCAGTTCTCGTCGTCTTACACTAGCGATGGTTGCTACCATCGAATTCATTTGGTGTATATACTGTTGTTCGTCTTATAAAACATGAGCAGTTTTGTACATTTACCTTGCGTATCATGATCGCAGCTGTGTACCTCTGCATTGCATTACTCTTACCTTTTTGCACACCAGGCTGCCGGCCATCTTGCGTGATGCCGTTTATGTAGAAGCGCCTTTCCGGCTTTCCGTCGTACAGAGTCCACCGGTTTTTTTTGGACTGCTGAAGGATGAAGGATGCATTCACTGCCGTTTATTAGCGGACGACCAACGATTCCTGGACATCCAAATTTAAAGGGGAACAAGCTTCCAGCACCAAAGAAGCGCATCTGGTGTAGTGGTATCATAGTACCCTCCCACGGTACTGACCGGGTTCGATTCCCCGGATGCGCATTTTTTGGTTATAGCCCTAGGTTCTGTGTCCTTTACCATGTTCTGTGTCATCTTTTTGCCACGAACAAATGCTTGACGATGACGTTGCAATGCTGCATAGCCTGAACAAACATCCATGTTCTGAATAGCCGCACGCGCTTCAATTCTCAGTTTATCACACATGAAATGGAGGTCACGACTCGTCCGACGAGTCCCGACCATCGCGCACCGCAGCAGCGGCCGCTAAAGCTTATAATAGGCTAATAGAACTGAGCAATAGAACATGCCGACCTCTGTAATCGCACTGCTAGAAAAACTATTTTTCAGACGATGACATTTTTTTCTCTGACGGGTATGCCACTTAGAGCTAAATGACCGTCTGTGAAAATAACAACTGAGCGATATCGTCGTCCGCTTGCAAAAAGGTTAAACATGTTAAAAACATCATCTACCCACCAAAATGCTAAGTCAGAGCACTTCGCCCTCACACCTCTCCCTCCTCTCCCCTCTCACCTCTCCTCTCCTTCTCTCCCGCCGCGGGATCCAGTCGGAGGGCGGTGGTGGCGGCGGCTACCGGCGGTAGCAACGCGGAGGGTGGAGGACGCGGCGGCTTCCTCCCAGATCCGGTGGAGACCGCGGCGACGGCGCAGAGGGTGGTGGTGGCGGCGGCTCCAAGCGCTGGCGGTTCCCCTTCCTCCCTCCTAGATCTGGCCGGAGAAGGGAGGGGTGATGGTAGCGGTGCAGCTGGAGGTGTATAGGGCGAGGGATGGGGTGGTATTTTTTTTATTCTCCTAAAATATCTCCGCAAACGAGTGGATACGACGCCCGTGAAAATCAACTATTTTCATAGACTTGTGCGCATAGGCGGGCCGTCCTCCCGTCTAGGAAAATGATTTTTGACCGCCTGAAAAAATGATTTCTTAGCGTCGAGCTCTCTCGCTGCCTGACTCATGGAGAGATTGCTGGGACATGACGCAAAGGCCCAAGGAGGCGGAGCCACGAGCCCACGGTGAACTCCGACCTGCGATCTCACCCGGTCACGCCGCTCTGTGCTTCTCTATTCACATCGTCCTACCTGTCCATCTCCGTCCCGGTTGGCCTCACACCACTCGTGCCGGCTCGCCGCCGTGCCTCGTCATCTCTCTTATCCCGTGGTGCCCCATCCGCATCGCCCGATGGCAAACCGACGGCCTTGATCGCCCAACCGGATCAACCACCGCCCCCGTCTTACCGTTACGTTGATCCAGTCAGTCGCGTGGGGAGATCTGATGGGCCACCGGCCAGGCCGCCCAAGTTTTTGCACCTGCGAACCCACCGGGCGGGCTCCTGGTGGGCTTCGCCTTCGGCGAAACGCCCGCGGCCGGTGCCCTTCTTCTTCCGCCGAGGCAGGAGGCAGCGGCGGCTTCCGGCTTCCTTCTTGTGGCTGGTCGAACCGTCTCCGATGATACCTTCCACGCAAGCAGCTAGTCGATCGCGCCAACGGGGGAAAAGCCATTCCTATCATCCTGTGGACGCAATAATGCGCCGTCAGTTATCAGGTACTGCTGCCTCCACTTGTGCTGCTGCTCTCCATAAATGTCCAACTTGACAAAACGGCGACTTTGTTGTACCCTGGCCCATTCGATCTGCAGTGGTACACATATGATACGTACCCGCAGCGACTGTTGCTCGTTTTCGTTTTTGCGGCCGTGTGGCCGTGTCCAAACTGGGCGCAGAGCCAACCCTCTCCACGTCGGCTTGGGAATATTTTTGGTGGCCTTGCTACTTGATAAATATCTTTTGTTTAAAATGTGTTCATAAATACTTACTCCGACTTATAAAAATTAAAATTCTAACTCCGAGGCTTTATCCCATAAAAAAGTATTTCTAATCACGTGAAACTCAACAAGTAATTTAAGAATGCTAATTATGTGGATTAATTATCTTAATTTTTTTAATCAATTATATATATATAATGTATGTATGTATGGGGTTCATTATCGTGGTCATTTGTCTATCCTTCTAATATGTCCTAAATTAGCTAGAATTTTAGTTTTTAGGATAGAGGAAGTAAATAGTAATATTTAGGTTATAGCTTCTCCATCCTGACCATTCCTTATTTATTTTTTATTAAATCCTTTATGAATACTTATATTCGTGAACGAGGAAAGTATTTTAGGATCATGATTCTGAAGTCTGAAGAAAGTATTTTAGGATCATGATTCTGAAGTCTGAAGACCATTTTGGTCAGGAGCCTGATGAAATTTCGTAGCAAATTTTTACCACTCAATACAGGCCAAAATAAATCAAAACCAACTTTATTAATATTTTAAATTTAAATTATAGCTTTTTAAGTGTCGTTTTTTTACCTTGCTTGAGAATTGAGATATGGTGGGGGGATTTTCAGGATCCTGTGGTTCTATATGAGGAGAGTCCCCTAGTCAATATCATGCGCATATGAGATTTGACACACAAGATGCATATATATATATATATATATATATATATATATATATATATATATATATATGACACTCTCACTACACATGCTAATGAAGGATCCAATTGGCGATCCATCGCTGCACATGTACAATGTGTTGCCTATAGCACATTTATGGACGTTTTATTATTTTGCTCACTACCTAATGGAATGAGTACAACACTGCAGTAGTTGTGCTGTCTATCTAAAATTAAAACATATCGTCCTTTCGACCGGTTGTTGGAGCTACATTTTCAGCTCACAGCGACCCGGGTTAGTTTCCTGTACCCGTTTTTGTTCTTTACATCTTCTGTTTATGCCGCTGCATCTCTGTCGTATATGTTGGTATGAGTCACCACATGAATCCAGCAACTCTAAAAGAGATTTCTTTTTAATCAATCCACTAATACTAAAGCTAGCTCAGGCTTGCTGTATTCACTCAGTCACAACTTTATCTCCTTTACAGATCGGGAGGCACAAGTGGGGGAGTTTACAAAAGCAAAACCATTGAAGAAAAATGGCATGTGTCCTGGCCCATTGGAAAATAGAATAATTTCTTAAGAGAAGGTACCGTGTCTGTGTGCGTATGTTTTTTTAGGACATGTGGTTACGCAGTACCTGTTCATTTGAAGTTTTTCAAATGAAGCAATCTGTTCCATGCCGTCAAGTTTCCTCCAATGTTATAGATGTCTCTAATATAAGTTAGCTTTACAGTAAGCAGCATGTGGTGAATTTATGAATCCAAGAAATTCGATTTGTTTTTGGTAATATCGCTTTTATAATAAGATCTTTTTTTTTTTCGAAAAAGACGGCAGGAGGACTGTCTCTTATCATTAATAGAGAATGAGAGAATACAGATTATTTACAAAATAAGACCAAATTGTTTTATGATCTGAAGGAGCACATGTTTTATGATCTGAAGGAGCACAATATCATGGATAATTTTTCTTGCTGTGCTCTGGGTTTCACGTAGTTGCAGAACTTGTAGCAAACATATCATTCAGACAATTGAACTAGACTCTTTAGTCTCTCATTACGATTGCACAAAATTGTGTCTTGCAATTTGTAATTTGGCCAAGAACGAACTTAAAAAACAAACAAATCCTTGGATGGCAAGAAGTGAAAAGAGAGGAAGAAAAAAACACACGGGACAAAGCTGTTCGTCCACGTGGCAGAGATTATGTACACGTCATCTCTGATTGGTTCCTAAATCTGCAGAGTTAATTTAACCGGCGGCTCGATTGGCTATAGATCGCCGCTCTGCTCCGCCTCGGCGACGAGCGCGGCGAGCGAGCGCTGCGCATCGGCGGCGTCCCGCTCGGCGATGAACGGGTGCTCGAGCAGCTCGCCGACCGACGCGCGCCGCCCGGCCTTCTTCTCGAGGCACCGCGACACGAAGTCCCGGAACTCCTCCGACGCGGCGGCCGGCATCTCCGGCGCCTCGCCGAAGCATATGGCGCACATGAGCGCCGCCCAGTCGGGGCGCTGCCCCACGGGGAGAAGCGGGAAGTGGCCGAGGTACAGCTCAAGGATCGCTACCCCGAGGCTCCACACGTCGGCGGCGTACGGGTCGTAGTCGCCGGAGTAGGCCTCCGGGTCGAACCTCTCCGGGGACATGTAGGCCGCCGTCCCGACGTAGGACGCGCAGGGGTCGAGCCGCCGCCGCAGGACCTTGCCCGCGCCGAAGTCGGCGATCTTGACCTCGCCGTCGGCGCCGAGGAGCAGGTTCGACGGCTTGAGGTCGCGGTGCACGATGCGGAGCGCGTGAAGGGCCTCGAGCCCGAGTAGCGCCTGCCTCGCCACGGCGGCGATGGGGCGCTCCCCCATCGGGCGCCCGAGACGGCGAAGCAACCCAGCCAGGGAACCCCCGGGCATGAGCTCGAGCGCCAGCGCGGCGGGCTCCTCCACCCCACCGGCGGCCGACGGGACCACCGCGTGGAGCCTCACGACGTGCGGGGCATCCGCCGCGAGCCTGAGTATCTCGGCCTCCCGCGCCGCGGAGAGGTCCCCGGCGGCGAAGAGCTTGAGCGCGAGCGGCTGCTGCGCGGGGCAACCCCGTCGGTGGCGCGCCTTGTACACCGTCCCGCCGTTGCCGTGGCCGAGGACGGAGATCCTCTCGAAGTCCGAGAGGCGGACGTCAGAGGAGGTGGACGGCGCGACTGCGGGCTGCTGCTGCTGCTGCGGCGCCGGCGGCGGGCGGAGGGCGAAGTGATCGAGCGGGAGGGTGAGGTGCGGCAGGTGGCGTCGCTGGCGGACGAGAGCCATCGGTTGGAGAGGAGAGGA